AGATTTAAAATAACTGAAACTTAATAGTTAACTAACAACCGTAATCACGTGTTTACAAGCCATTGACTCAAATTGTTGACTGAGTGTCCATAATTTCTTCTTATTCAAAGCTGGACGTTTACCAACAATACTGGCCAGTGCTGAGCTATTGAACTACCCATCAGTGGCGGAACTACAACAATTTTGTGGGGGTTGAGGATGCTACTCTCTATTCAACTTATCGTCTGTGTGAGGTGTAGGGTTGGGAGTGAATGGGTTATGTTCCATGGCCTACTCAGTACATTTCAGTTGTTAATGACTGCACGTCAATTCAGTTGTTAATGACTGCACGTCAATTCAGCTGTTAATGACTGCACGTCAATTCATTTGTTAATGACTGCACGTAAATTCATTTGTTAATAACTGCACGTAAATTCAGTTGTTAATGGATGACGTCAATTCAGTCGTTAATGACTGGACGTCAATTCAGTTGTTGATTACTGCACGTCAATTCAGTTGTTAATGACTGGACGTCAATTCAGTTGTTTATGACTGCACGTCAATTCAGTTGTTTATGACTGCATGTCAATTCTTTTGTTAATAACTGCACCTCAATTGTAGATTGTAAACAAATAGAGCGAATCAGAGTTACCCCTCCCCATTACATTCGAACCCATGCATACACAAATTGACATGAATCATATCCAAGCAACGATCAAGTGAATATGTAATGAAGTTATCGATCCTAGTTGGAAAAGGTTGTTGGAGAAGCAGAAATAAATAAGAAAAAATACGAAGATTTAGATTTATACAAACAAAATTTTAAATAGTTTACACACAAGTTAATGTGTTAGTTTTATCATTGAACTGTATTGCTTTGATGTTTTAAGTGTATAAGTTGACTTGTGTTTTGATGTTTTAAGTGTATAAGTTGACTTGTGTTTTAATGTTTTAAGTGTATAAGTTGACTTGTGTTTTGATGTTTTAAGTGTATAAGTTGACTTGTGTTTTGATGTTTTAAGTGTATAAGTTGACTAGTGTTTAGGTAATAAGTTTATTTGTGCAATAAATATGGCCAATGTTTTAGCCTACTACTATATACCTAGAACTAGACTGCACAACCAAAAGTTTCGAGTTCGAATCCGGGTTCAAATCAGTAACTAGCTCACACTAGGGAAAGTAAAGGCTGTTGGGGATAGTGCTGACCATAAGATCTCCTCATATGTTGATGTCACAGAAACAGGTGAACTCTACTTCACTTGCCCCATAGACAGGTTTGAAATAAAACTTTACATTTTTTACTATAAACGTACTGCCATAAAGTAGAAGGGGAAGTTTGTCATTACTACACATTAAATCAAGTGTCTTCACAATAATTGTATGGAAACAATTGTAACAACATCTGTCGTCATAATTAAGCTAATGAGAGCATTACTCTGAGTCAAACGGGACGGAGTAGCCTAGATGTAGAGTCCTAAACTGACAACCCGAATGTTTAGAGTTCAAATCCGGGTTCAAGCCAATGGAACATACCTGAATCCACCCAGCTCTGATCGGTAGGATTCTCACGTTAGGAAAAGTGAGGGTGGGTGGACATAGTCCTGACCACACTATCAAGAAACGTATGAACTCTACTTTATCTGCCCAATGGATCGCTACATCTAAAGAGGAATCTTTACTTTTTTTTTACCTGAGCATCAAACCAGTTCAGTGTGAAATTAAAATACTTGAAACACTTTCCCATCGCAAAGAAGTCGCCATCTAACAAAGAACAACTGTCTGATGATCAAATGAAAAAAATCTTTTTAAGTACAGATTCACGTCAAATAGCTAAAAGACTAGTTCAAAGTACTAATGAAATACAAGATAGAAAAGTGTTTTTATTTCATCATTTAAAAACTATAAGGATGACAATGTGTAATTATCGAACTGTACCTGTTATTTTAAACTACCTTATATTTACCTGTCTTTAATTTTAGTTGTTTAGATACTAACATTTAGTCAATGGTAAATTAGAACACTTGATGCCAACATATTTACCTGTATACACAAGAGTAACGTATAGAGTTATGTATAAAGAACAATGTAATATCCACATTATTAGACCTTGCTGCCGGTAAACTAACGTGGCTAGCTTGTGACAAGGCTGAAAATGATAAATGTGTTCCACCAATGCACGAGATGCACATCATAACAAAGGACATCACGTGACCTCTTCATTATTCTCCGCCTCCTCTCCACGACTGGTTGATAAATATCCATTCACAAAACCTCAGATTACTTCTTTCTGTCTCTGGGGTCACATTAGCATGCTGTAAATTATGTAAAGCATCCCATTATTTGAATAAATCAATACATCTCTGTTTCCATAGGTTCCGTACTAACATATTGGCTTTCTACCAAGGTATAACTTTTATATTTTAAAACAGTGCCAGCTAGGTACGTGTAAACTAACAACTCGTGTGGACACGAAACAAGAATCTCTGGTGTAGCAAGCTCCTAGACTTTGGTCGTCTGATGGTGACAACCTGTTCATCAATAAAAGCTCTAGAACAGTGGTTCTTAACCTGGGTATGATTGAACCCCAGGGGTTCGGTGAGTCATTGTTTGGGGTTTGGCGGAGGTCAAGACACATACCCGACTCATGTGATTCACGATCGAATTTGTTAGTGCAGACAAATAAGAAGAGTTCGATTTATGCGCATAAAACTGGTGGGGTTCGGTACCCTAAAAAGGTTAAGAACCACTGCTCTAGAATTTGCCTGCCTAACAGCTAGTGGCGCCATCTTGTCTGGTGAGAGAGCTACCCAACCGTCTACGAAATGTTTTATATATATATATATATATATATATATATATATATATATATATATATATATATATATATATATATATATATATATATATATATATATATATATATATATATATATGCGTATACGTGTGTGTGACATAATGTTCTAGATTGCATTTCAATATTATCTACGCGACATTCGAACTCCATTAAAAAATCCAATACAATTACAGGTATTATAATTGTTACAATTATTACAATTATTACAATTGTTACATTTGTTACATACTTTGTGTAAGTGCGCGGGCCTATTAACTTCAGCGTCCTTTACATCGGATGGCATCGTTAGCGGTGAAAGGAGGCAAACGTTCGTAGTCTGAGGCGAATTGTAGTTGGTGACGTAATGTAATGGACTACAACTAAAGGTAGCACTGTGCAGTGAGCGAATAATAAACAAAAGAAGCTACAGCCTTGAGGAGAGTTCTCTTGAATTTGAAATGTAAACCAAGCCTGGGTTGTTTTTTTATCCCGAACAGTTGAGCCACTGAGCCGTGTGAAGCGTAGATCAAAAGCAACACACTGAAGCATCAACCAAGTGTCATTCAAAATACATGCGTAAAAACAATAAACATAATTTTAAAACTTTTTGTTAAATATGGATTTTTAACATAGTATTATAATAATATAGGGCTTGCATATCTCGATCTCTCTCTCTCTCTCTCCCTCTCTCTCTCTCTCTCTCTCTCTCTCTCTCTCTCTCGCTTAATATTCGAAGTACATTTATGTTCCGAACATAATTTCCATTGATAAAAAAAACATGGCAGCTTTTTGTTTCTAGGCGGAGATTTCAAAAGATGAAGAGTACTCAAGATACAACAATGATAAAAATTTAACTAACAATTGAATCAAATTAAGTACGGTAGCCCTAGGACAGAGCGTATTATATTATATTTATATTGTAACTGCGTATAGAACAACTTGTTACGGATTCTAATAGAAAATAACAAAATGTACGCTTCTATAAAAAAAACACAATTAAACGTAGGCTATTTTTTTCTTAAAGCTAGCTAGAAATGGTCAAAGTTTCGCTGGCTCGTTTCGACCCTTGAGACAGTCAGACATTACGAGGAAGCTAGTACAAAATGGTCTACGTCATCAGCACTCTTACAACTGTGAGTTTTCTCACAGAAGTTAACAAACTGTGTTTTAAGAAGTTGATATCTTTTTACGTACTGCTCTCGTGAGAGTATAATATGACGTCATTCACACAGCGATGTAACGAACTTTTCTCAAGTTTATCCGATGTATTTAATTAGTTGATGAAGTTTTCACCAACCCCTTCACTGGACACGGTGACCAAATTTTGTCATTGACCTCTTCACACGATGAGTTGAGTTGAACATAACAGAATCTCATCAGTATCTAGCACCTAACACCACCCCGCACCTTGTTGTAGTCCCAGACCTAGCACCATGTTGTAGTCCCAGACCTAGCCCATAACACCATGTTGTAGTCCCAGACCTAGCACCACCCCGCACCATGTTGTAGTCCCAGACCTAGCACCACCCCGCACCATGTTGTAGTCCCACACCTAGCACCACCCCGCACCATGTTGTAGTCCCAGACCTAGCACCACTCCGCACCATGTTGTAGTCCCAGACCTAGCACCACCGCGCACCATGTTGTAGTCCCACACCTAGCACCACCCCGCACCATGTTGTAGTCCCAGACCTAGCACCACCCCGCACCATGTTGTAGTCCTAGACCTAGCACCACCCCGCACCATGTTGTAGTCCCAGACCTAGCACCACTCCGCACCATGTTGTAGTCCCACACCTAGCACCACCGCGCACCATGTTGTAGTCCCAGACCTAGCACCATGTTGTACTCCCAGACCTAGCACCATGTTGTAGTCCCAGACCTAGCACCACCGCGCACCATGTTGTAGTCCTAGACCTAGCACCACCCCGCACTATGTTGTAGTCCTAGACCTAGCACCACCGCGCACCATGTTGTAGTCCCAGACCTAGCACCACCCCGCACCATGTTGTAGTCCCAGACCTAGCATCACTCCGCACCATGTTGTAGTCCTAGACCTAGCACCACCAAGCACCATGTTGTAGTCCCAGACCTAGCACCACCCCGCACCATGTTGTAGTCCTAGACCTAGCACCACCGCGCACTGTTGTAGTCGCAGACCTAGCACCACTCCGCACCATGTTGAACGCCGCCTTATCGACACAACTCGCCATGGCACGATTTCCTCCAGACATTTCTAACTTCTCTCCGGACTACACAGACGGATCAGTAAGTGAACCAGTCCACTGTACTAGGAGATCTAGTGGACAAACGTCTTGTCTGATTAGTGCTTTAATTGTAACTTTGTAATTTCATGTGTGTTGCAAAATCTAGGATATTTAGAGTTTTCTGTGTGTTGAAAATTTATTTATTAACTATTTGTAATCTTGATCTATATCTAGAATCTAGATCTATACTTCTATTCCAAAGTAGTGATTTAGTATATAGAAAAACTTACTATTTCCATACCTACATTATCTAAGCCATTCTAAGCAAATATCTATTACCTTCAGAGTAAAAACTTTAAATACGTCCTTTACCCTGTTTTATTAAGCCTGAACTTAAAATACTTTGGACTAAATTTAATTAACAAAGAAATTGAATTTAAACAAAAATCGAAAACAAAACTCCTTAAAAGATTTCTAACTTATTTTCCACACAGCGTAATCAATCTCAAACATCAAACGTTCTAACATTTTTTTTTTCCTGTCCTCCATCTGTAGCTCACGTAGACAGCTAGCATCTCACCCGACCACCCACACACCAGGATTTAAACACAGCAGACGTCTAGACGGAAGTGAACCAGCAAGATGTCAAGGACGCCAAAGTTCCAGACATACGACTCGACGGTTGGGAAAGACAACGCACGGCTCAAGGCCATCGCGTGCAAGGTCGTCAACAGTGGCGTGCCCACACGCTACAAGATCAATCTCAGGGATGAGATCCTCTCCATGAAGGAGAAGGAGAGGCTGGGCTTCAACTTCAACAGGTAGTAGTCTGGTGTCTGGTTAATGTACAGGTAGTCGTCTGGTGTCTGGTTAATGTACAGGTAGTCGTCTAGTGACTGGTTAATGTACAGGTAGTCGTCTAGTGTCTGGTTAATGTACAGGTAGTCGTCTGGTTAATGTACAGGTAGTCGTCTGGTGTCTGGTTAATGTACAGGTAGTCGTCTGGTTAATGTACAGGTAATCGTCTGGTTAATGTACAGGTAGTTGTCTGGTGTCTGGTTAATGTACAGGTAGTCGTCTGGTGTCTGGTTAATGTACAGGTAGTCGTCTGGTTAATGTACAGGTAGTCGTCTGGTGTCTGGTTAATGTACAGGTAGTCGTCTGGTTAATGTACAGGTAGTCGTCTGGTTAATGTACAGGTAGTCATCTGGTGTCTGGTTAATGTACAGGTAGTCGTCTGGTTAATGTACAGGTAGTCGTCTGGTTAATGTACAGGTAGTCGTCTAGTGACTGGTTAATGTACAGGTAGTCGTCTGGTGTCTGGTTAATGTACAGGTAGTCGTCTGGTGACTGGTTAATGTACAGGTAGTTGTCTGGTGTCTGGTTAATGTACAGGTAGTCGTCTGGTTAATGTACAGGTAGTCGTCTGGTTAATGTACAGGTAGTCGTCTGGTTAATGTACAGGTAGTCGCCTGGTTAATGTACAGGTAGTTGTCTGGTGTCTGGTTAATGTACAGGTAGTCGTCTGGTTAATGTACAGGTAGTCGTCTGGTTAATGTACAGGTAGTCGTCTGGTTAATGTACAGGTAGTCGTCTGGTTAATGTACAGGTAGTTGTCTGGTGTCTGGTTAATGTACAGGTAGTTGTCTGGTGTCTGGTTAATGTACAAAATTTATCTGAGTTTCACTTAGACGGGTGGGTCGGCGTGGTCGAGTCGGTAAAGCTCATGGTTGCTAAACCGTAAAGTCTCGAGTTCGAACCCCCGGGCAGATGAGGCTCGTTAGCTGGGGACAGCCACTCTTCTAGGAGAGACAACTCCAAAATTAAACAACTGCTGCCTTGTAGTTTGTTCTTGGTTGGACAAAGGCTATGGAAGCAAATCCAAAAAAGAAAAGCAGGCTGAAATCGGAGTCAATGGCCTCAATGGCGCATAACCAGTTGACACGTAACGCTTAATTGTGTTGGAGGCGTGGTCGAGTCGGCAAAAAGCTCATGGTTGATAAATTCGAACAGTCTCGAGTTCAACCCCACCGGCAGATAAATCTCGATCCCCTTCAACACTAATAATTAAGAACGAAGAAGAAGAAGAAGAAGACTTAGACGGTTTAGTTTTGTTGAGTGTCGTTGTTCCATGTCGACCCCCACCACCCCATTAAACTCCACAGATCCCTGACAGCATCCCTGAGGTCCCGCTGGGATGTGGTGGAGAACGCCACCAAAAGTTTCCTGCAGGAGATCGTCGACATGAACGACCAGATAGAGGACGACAGCAAGAAGAACGAACGACAACTCCTGGGACTGATCTTCACACGCTCCACCAACATCAGCCTGGAGTCCAGGTTTTTTATAGACGATTTTTTCCACTGTTCTACAGTTTTAAAGGCCGAATGGACATTTAGCTGTAAAGCAGTACCGAAAACATCGTCTCCAAATATCAAACTTAAGCAGTGAACACAAGCATCCAATTTAAAACCTTAACCTCCAATCTCAACATCCAACATACAGTGTTTCTTGCAGACTTTTTTTCTCCGGGGGGGGGGGGGGGGGAACTTGAAATTTTCGGGGAGGGGGCGGTAGACTTTCTTCGGGGGGGGGGGGCGGACACTGTTAAAAGTATATATTTTCTATATAAATTTCATTTCGGGGGGACGGTAGGATCTCCAATCTCAACATCCAACTTAAACCTCTAAACCCAAATCTTGAACTTAAACCTCCAACCTAAACCTCCGATCTAAACATACAATCTAAACATTTTTGATATAAACATCCAAAATAAACCTTCAACTTAAACCTCCAACCTTAATCTTCACCTTAAACCTCCAACCTAAACCTCCAACTTAAACCTCCAACCTAAACCTTCAACTTAAACCTCCAACCTAAACCTCCAACTTAAACCTCCAACCTAAACCTCCAACTTAAACCTCCAACCTAAACCTTGAACTTAAACCTCAAACTTAAACCTCAAACTTAAACCTCCAAGCTAAACCTTCACCTTAAACCTCCAACCTAAACCTTCACCTTAAACCTCCAACCTAAACCTCCAACTTAAACCTCCAACCTAAACCTTCACCTTAAACCTCCAACCTAAACCTTCACCTTAAACCTCCAACCTAAACCTTCAACCTAAACCTCCAACCTAAACCTTCACCTTAAACCTCCAACCTAAACCTTCACCTTAAACCTCCAACCTAAACCTCCAACTTAAACCTCCAACCTTCACCTTAAACCTCAAACCTAAACCTTCACCTAAAACCTCCAACCTTCACCTTAAACCTCCAACCTAAACCTTCACCTTAAACCTCCAACCTAAACCTTCAACCTAAACCTCCAACCTAAACCTTCACCTTAAACCTCCAACCTAAACCTTCACCTTAAACCTCCAACCTAAACCTCCAACTTAAACCTCCAACCTTCACCTTAAACCTCAAACCTAAACCTTCACCTAAAACCTCCAACCTTCACCTTAAACCTCCAACCTCCAACCTTCACCTTAAACCTCCAACCTCCAACCCCTCAGAGTTGAGCAGCTAGGTGGACTCTTCATGCGCATAACGTTCTACAAGACTGTGCTAGAGGAGAAGATCAAACAGTACGACCACTACAAGACTTTCCTGGTCCAGTGCTGTGAGCTGATGGGCTATCTTCAGCCTGGACAATTACTGGACAGATACGCGGCACTTAACCACGTCTTCAAGGTAAGGGTAGCACTTAACCACGTCTTCAAGGTGAGGGTAGCACTTAACCACGTCTTTAATGGTAGCAGTAAACCACGTCTTCAAGGTAAGGGTAGCACTTAACCACGTCTTCAATGTGAGGGTAGCACTTAACCACGTCTTTAATGGTAGCGGTTAACCACGTCTTTAAGGTAAGGGTAGAACCAGGTCTTTAATGGTAGCACTTAACCAGGTCTTTAATGGTAGCAGTTAACCACGTCTTCAAGGTAATGGTAGCACTTAACCAGGTCTTCAAGGTAAGGTTAGCACTTAACCAGGTCTTCAAGGTAAGGGTAGCACTTAACCACGTCTTTAATGGTAGCACTTAGCCACGTCTTTAATGGTAGCACTTAGCCAGGTCTTGTAATGGTAGCACTTAACCAGGTCTTCAAGGTAAGGGTAGCACTTAACCACGTCTTTAATGGTAGCACTTAACCAGGTCTTTAATGGTAGCACTTAACCAGGTCTTCAAGGCAAGGGTAGCACTTAACCACGTCTTTAATGGTAGCACTTAACAAGGTCTTTAATGGTAGCACTTAACTAGGTCTTCAAAGTAAGGGTAGCACTTAACCAGGTCTTTAATGGTAGCACTTAACCAGGTCTTTAAGGTAAGGGTAGAACCAGGTCTTTAATGGTAGCACTTAACCAGGTATTTAATGGTAGCAGTTAACCACGTCTTCAAGGTAAGGGTAGCACTTAACCAGGTCTTCAAGGTAAGGTTAGCACTTAACCAGGTCTTCAAGGTAAGGGTAGCACTTAACCACGTCTTTAATGGTAGCACTTAGCCACGTCTTTAATGGTAGCACTTAGCCAGGTCTTGTAATGGTAGCACTTAACCAGGTCTTCAAGGTAAGGGTAGCACTTAACCACGTCTTTAATGGTAGCACTTAACCAGGTCTTCAAGGCAAGGGTAGCACTTAACCACGTCTTTAATGGTAGCACTTAACAAGGTCTTTAATGGTAGCTCTTAACCAGGTCTTCAAAGTAATGGTAGCACTTAACCAGGTCTTTAATGGTAGCACTTAACCAGATCTTTAATGGTAGCACTTAACCAGATCTTTAATGGTAGCACTTAACCAGATCTTTAATGGTAGCACTTAACCAGATCTTTAATGGTAGCACTTAACCCTATCTAATTTAACACATTTGGCTGTTTCCACCTCACTGACTTCAACAAACTGACCTTTTTTTGTCCTGTGTCCAACTAACTGACCTAATGTGTGGTGTGTCCAACTAACTGACCTTATGTGTGGTGTGTCCAACTGTCTGACCCCCATCTTTCGTGTGTCTAACTAAAAGACCTTATGTGTCGTGTGTCCAACTAACTGACCTAATATGTGGTGTGTCCAACCGTCTGACCCCCATCTGTGTCCAACACAGGAACTGTATGGCGAGTACGATGCGAGGGCGACAATGATGAACAAACTCCAAGAACGGTTGAGTGATATCCGCACGGAGACCGACCACAGGAACATGCTCATGCACAACGAGATGTCGGACCTGCACATGAAGCTCAAGATACTCACCATCAGGGCACGCTCGACTTATTTTACATCACGTTTTCTAGACTATCTTTCATTTTAGACTAAGTTCTATAGACTATCTTATATTTTAGACTAAGTTCTATAGGCTATCTTTTATTTTACATTACGTTTTCTAGGCTATCTTTCATTTTAGACTCAGTTCTATAGACTATCTTATATTTTAGACTAAGTTCTATAGGCTATCTTTTATTTTACACTAAGTTCTATAGGCTATCTTTTATTTTAGACTAAGTTCTATAGGCTATCTTTTATTTTACATCACGTTTTCTAGGCTATCTTTCATTTTAGACTCAGTTCTATAGACTATCTTATATTTTAGACTAAGTTCTATAGGCTATCTTTTATTTTACACTAAGTTCTATAGGCTATCTTTTATTTTAGACTAAGTTCTATAGGCTATCTTTTATTTTACATCACGTTTTCTAGGCTATCTTTCATTTTAGACTCAGTTCTATAGACTATCTTATATTTTAGACTAAGTTCTATAGGCTATCTTTTATTTTAGACTAAGTTCTATAGGCTATCTTTTATTTTACATCACGTTTTCTAGGCTATTGTTTATTTTACACTTAGTTGTCTAGGCAATCTTTTATTTTACATTTAGTTAATTTTTCATCTTACAACGCATATTATCTCGGCAATATCACGTTTTACCACCAACGTTATTTAGACAACATCAGCTTATACAGCTTATACTAGGCAAGAAAACTTCTGTCACAAACATTACACTAAGAATTCATTCCCCACCACCTGATTGTGTGAAAAATGATTGAATTTTTCAGATCAATCACCTGGAATACGAACTGAGCGATCGAATCGATCACTCGACGGGTACAGAGATGGAGATCTACAGGATCAAGAATTCGATACATCGGTCCTACGTTGCTTTGATGAACTACAGGTACTTTAGTCCACTTTCTAAATCTTTAAGTCCCGAGTTTGAATCCTGTTAAATGTAGTGATAGCAGCTGACTGGGCAATAAATACCCGGAGATGAGGGGGGGGGGGCACTGAAACAGTTTATAACCACTGGGGCTCAGTAATAAATGTTGGCCACAGAAAGATGTTGGCTACAGGAAGATGTTGGCCACAGAAAGATGTTGGCCTCATAAAGATGTTGGCCACATAAAGATGTTGGCCACAGAAAGATGTTGGCCTCATAAAGATGTTGGCCACAGAAAGATGTTGGCCACAGAAAGATGTTGGCTACAGGAAGATGTTGGCCACAGAAAGATGTTGGCCTCATAAAGATGTTGGCCACATAAAGATGTTGGCCACAGAAAGATGTTGGCCTCATAAAGATGTTGGCCACAGAAAGATGTTGGCCTCATAAAGATGTTGGCTACAGAAAGATGTTGGCCTCATAAAGATGTTGGCTACAGAAAGATGTTGGCCACAGAAAGATGTTGGCCACAGAAAGATGTTGGCCTCATAAAGATGTTGGCCACAGAAAGATGTTGGCCTCATAAAGATGTTAGCTACAGAAAGATGTTGGCCACAGAAAGATGTTGGCCACATAAAGATGTTGGCCACAGAAAGTTGTTGGCCTCATAAAGATGTTGGCCAACGAAAGATGTTGACTACAGGAAACATTTCACCAGTGGCTTAGCGAGGTCGGGTGTAACCCGGTGCGGCACTTAATGGTGTCAAGCCCCAGAGGCGTAGCGACCCTTCCCGGGAACAAGCTTTTAACTTTCGATTTGCACCTCTTAAAACACTATTTAACACTCGAATCAATCACTTAATTAAGTGGAATTATCATTTTTTTCTATAAATTTTGCTACTTTTTGCCTTGGTGTCACCCCCCTAAATGGTGTCACCCGGTGCGGTCCGCAACCCCCGCCCCACCCCCCATTGCTACGCCTCTGCATTTCACATACTGTAGTTACAGAAACATCGGTCTAAAGATAGGGTTGGTAAAAGAAATAGTTCATTTAAAAAATATCTTCACTTATAAATACCTTTTTAACATTACAAGAGTTAGTACTTCCTTTTACCAAATAATTAAAGTTAAGTAAACGTATGTTCAACATTTGTATGAAAGATGAAATGATGATATCAATTATTGTGTTGAGCAGAGGTCTAGAACCCACAGACAGCGACCCGTACGTTCAGCTTGAGCACATCGAGGCCAGGATACTAGCCTGCATTGACGTCATTCGGTTCGTGAAGGAAGAGACCATGAAGGTGGGTACTCAGGTGAAGAAGTCCAAGAGAGAGAAGGAGCTGGAGTCGGTGCAACTGAGGATCGGCACTGACTCGAGTTCCTCAGACAACGAGCCAGGGGATGCCAACGAGAGCCACCAGATGGCTCAAGGGACGGCAGGGTCGCAGCCACAGGTCAGAAGGTCACAGCCCAAGGTCAGGAAAAAGAGCTTTCTGCCACCACTAGATCCGTCAAGGACTAGCATGACGGGGAAAGTTGGAGCGACGGCAAGCAAAGAAAGTTCCGCTTCAGTACACTCCGCTAAGTCGATGATCAAACATGTAGAAAGGCGGGAGAATCGCAGAGTACTGAAGGATAAAAGTGAAAACAAATCTAAAATTAGATCTACCAATACGAGACGGCCAATTAAACAACCTCCCAGAGAGCCGGCCTCAGATACAGATACAGACACAGATGATACAATGGATAAGATGGACAGCAAAATGAAACCCCTGTCCATCTCTACCACTGAGTTCGACAAGACAATGGTTGAACAGGTAAGGAGAGAGCTAGAAGAGAGGCTGGCCCAAAGACTCCGCAATAAAGCCAGAGCTGGAGAGGATAAGATCGTCCATGAAACGACCTGCCCAGATGTACATGAACCCACAAGAGCTGAAAGGATCAAAATGTACGACCTTATCAAGCGCCGGAAGAGGGAGATCGAAGACATGCTGTACACCAAGCCGGAGATTCTGCTCCAGAGGTGCAGCCAACAGGAGGTCAAGACCATCGACTGGTGGAGAAGGTCAAGGTTGAACCAGCTCCACCGTCAGAGGTCAATTTTCCTAGAGAAACCCCCACTGAGAGAGTGCAAGAGTCTCAAGAAACCCCCGGCCCCCCTGGCCAAGCCCAGACACCCACCCAGCTACACCATGAGCAGGAAATACATCAAGCTCCATTACCTGGACATTTTGGCCAATGTCGACATCAGACGTAGAAATAGTTTACAGACAGAACAGCTTACACTGACGTAGAACACAGAAGATGGCTGGACATGCAGTGGTCTAATAAACTAACACGAGTTTAATTAGTTAATGGATGACTTGGTGGTGTGGGTGCATGTCAATAAGATAACTTGGACGAACCATAAAGCTGATGTGATAGATCGTATCAACAACACAACTCATTTGGTCATTTGGAACAGCAATGGGACTGTTTTGGTAGATTGGACTAAAAGTATTGTTGATTTTGTAGATTGGACTAACGGTGCAGTTGATTTTGTAGCTTGGACCAACAGTATAATAGATATTTTAGTTTGGACCAACAGTATAATAGATATTTTAGTTTGGACCAACAGTATAATAGATATTATAGTTTGGATCAACGGTACAATAGAATGTGTAGATTTGACCAACGGTACAATAGATTTTGTGGACTGGTACCGCCCAGAAGAGCGAGTCCGATGTACGCAGTGAAGAATGAAAGGAAACAACGAATGTCGTAATCGTTTTATACTTACGCTCTTAGATTATTTCATCTTTTACATTTGACATTATTTTATAATAAAAAATTTATAAAAATAACACGTACGCTTGATTTTTTTTCTTTCACGATTTCAATTTTTTCTTTCATCTTAATTTCAAGTGTTACATTATTTTTTCATTTATTAATCCCTAATCCCTAATCTTTCGGATTAAAAATACTGATTTCTCACAACTAAAGTGTTATTTACTGAATAAATACGTTAACTGCTTCAACATTGGTGTAGACGGAGAGTCGTAAACATTTCTGTTGAAATCAGACCAGTTTATGAGGAACATTGTATGGAACCAGTTTATAAGGAGCATTAGGACGGTAATGGAACGAGTTTATAAGGAGCATTAGGACGGTAATGGAACCAGTTTATAAGGAGCATTAGGACGGTAATGGAACGAGTTTATAAGGAGCATTGGGACGGTAATGGAACCAGTTTATAAGGAGCATTAGGACGGTAATGGAACCAGTTTATAAGGAGCATTAGGACGGTAATGGAACGAGTTTATAAGGAGCATTGGGACGGTAATGGAACCAGTTTATAAGGAGCATTAGGACGGTAATGGAACGAGTTTATAAGGAGCATTGGGACGGTAATGGAACCAGTTTATAAGGAGCATTAGGACGGTAATGGAACCAGTTTATAAGGAGCATTAGGACGGTAATGGAACGAGTTTATAAGGAGCATTGGGACGGTAATGGAACCAGTTTATAAGGAGCATTAGGACGGTAATGGAACCAGTTTATAAGGAGCATTAGGACGGTAATGGAACCAGTTTATAAGGAGCATTAGGACGGTAATGGAACCAGTTTATAAGGAGCATTAGGACGGTAAAGTAACTCGTGTATTATGAATCGCCCGTGTGGCTGGTTATGGAAACCCATATCATGAGAGTTTGTACCATTTTATTGTCATCTCTGGCGCAATCATTCCGTTCAGTAGGGTCCGGGAAATGGCTGCGGCTTCAGATAGGTCTACGACGGCCAACTTAGATGTGTAGGTGGGTGGCAGTGGCTGGAAGGAATTTCAGCCAACACATGGTATGATCTCTGTAATCGCGCCGGCCTGCGATAGTATAATGTTTTCTGTAAGGGCGCCGGCCTGCGATAGTATAATGTTTTCTGTAAGGGCGCCGGCCTGCGATAGTATAATGTTTTCTGTAAGGGCCCGGCCTGCGATAGTATAATGTTTTCTGTAAGGGCCCGGCCTGCGATAGTATAATGTTTTCTGTTAGGGCGCCGGCCTGCGATAGTATAATGTTTTCTGTAAGGGCGCCGGCCTGCGATAGTATAATGTCTTCTGTAAGGGCCCGGCCTGCGATAGTATAATGTTTTCTGTAAGGGCGCCGGCCTGCGATAGTATGTTTTCTGTAAGGGCCCGGCCTGCGATAGTATAATGTCTTCTGTAAGGGCGCCGGCCTGCGATAGTATAATGTCTTCTGTAAGGGCCCGGCCTGCGATAGTATAATGTCTTCTGTAAGGGCCCGGCCTGCGATAGTATACTATCTCTAGGACGCTTCTTTAAACAACCTCCCAGAGAGCGGGTCCCAGATAAAGACACAGATGAGACAATGGATAAGATGGACAGCAACACGAAACCCTTGTCCATCTCTACCACTGAGGTAGACAAGACAATGGTTGAACAGGTAAGGAGAGAGGATTCAGTCACGGCCACCCCCCCCCCCCTTTCACCTTCTAGTTTCTGGACATTTAACTTAGGAATTTTGAACTTTATTAACTAATCGAACATCCGATTAGATAACAGTAAAACGAGAAGATATGAAGTTTTTAACTGCTAGGGCCGCTATCACACCTGCTGCAACTGGTAGCTCTATTGAACTTGACTGTTTGATTTAGGCGAGATTATAAGGTAAAGTGGACCAAGGTCTAAAGGAAGTGGGTGTGGCTTATCTCATTTAGCCATTTAACAGCATGAAATACCAAACAAGTAAGTCTCAACCATTCATTTTTATTTATCCATGAATACTGTGCTAGTTCGTACATGGTTGGGTTGTTTAGTGTTATAGTTGTTATAGATGTTATAGACTCTATAACATCTATAACATAATATTGAGGTTGCCTATGTTAGCGTATATTTGAAAACTGTAGGTTGTAGGTATAGGCTATAGCAGCGGCTATGGGTACAGTAACCTAGTTATGTAGAGGCGTAAGTATAGGTGGTCTGTCGAGGACAAATTGTCGTGTTGGTGCGTAGACTTGGTTGGTCAAGCCTACTTTATACCGATGAAGTAACTAATGAACTATGGAATATTCGGCATATTATAATTCAGATTATCGTAAAAATTAGTTTTTAACACAGCTTAAAGTATGTATTTTCTAAATATAATTGCATACTTTTTCCTGTAATTTATTTTCAAGTCAATGTACATGTTGATTCATGTTATTATGTTTTGTTTGAATTTTCTTTGCAGGAGTTAATTTGTTTCATTACTAAGTCCCGTGGTCAGTTGAGTATTGAAATATGGCAAGCAGCACCCCATGTAAGTATTTGCAGTTGTCATTTAGGAATATATGATTAGGCGACTTATTTCTGTTCATTTTAAGCTTGTATGTGATAATTATAATCACGTATAGTGTTACATAAAATAAAATATAAATCACAATAGTGCAGCAGGAAAATAGATGGAGCTGACACACATTTTGATCTGAACAGTTTTGTGTCGTGTTAAATTAAATACTACTATTACGGTGTTGTATAATGTGTTGTTTTATGTTTTTTGAAGTGTTAAATCAAGTCTTTGTATCCAGCGGTATGTTTCCTCCCATGGTGTGGCCTGGCGGTAGAGCGCTAGACTGCTAACTCGAAATTTTGAATCCGGACCCAAGTCAGTAGAATGTCTCTGAGTCGACCCAGCTCTCATGGGTACCTAATTCACGTTAGGGAAAACAAAGGCGGCTGGGCATAGTACTGACCACACTGAACTCTGTTTCATCTGTCCCATGTGTGTTGGGCACGAACGGAAAGATGATGAGATGATGGTGTTGTAATAATTTGTAGTGCTGTGTTTAGTGCTGTGTTTAGTGTTGTGTTTAGTGCTTTTTAGTGCTGTGTTTAGTGTTGTGCTAAGTGCTGTGTTTATTGATGTGTTTAGTGTTTAGTAATGTGTTTAGTGATGTCTTTAGTGCTGTGCTGTGTTTAGTACTGTGTTTAGTGCTGTGTTTACTGCCGTGTTACATCCAATCCTTGTGTCCAGTGGTGCTGGTAACGGGTGCCACAGGGTACGTCGCCTCCCACGTTGTCCAGCAGCTACTGCAGCAAGGTCACCGTGTCCGCGCGACCGTGAGAAGTCTGAAGGATCATGTCAAGGTCAAGCACCTGCACGAGCTGTGCCCGTCAGCTGAACACAAGCTCGAGCTGGTGGAGGCGGATCTGTTGGACGCTGACTCCTGGACTCCGTGCGTCTAATTTCTCACTTCTTTGTTTAACGTTATCCACACCCTCTTGCTATAGTTAATCTTGTTTTAAACACTTCTGTATGTTTTGTATCATTTTTTACTACTTATTTGTCTTATTATGGTAATATTTTTGCTTTCCCGCTTACAGAAAAATAGGCTTAAGTATTAAAATCGTAACGAGTATTAGATCCAATACGAAGATTTATACTTTTTGGGCCATTTCCGATAACCAGAAGTAGTACTTTAACCTACAATATCTAAAAAATTAAATCTTCAGGATTTGATAGTTTTTATATCGCTTTAAGCAACACTTTCTAAGATATTTTTCGACTTTTTTTTTTCTTGAATTCAGATAGTTTTGTCACAAACTTACCTACACTTTTTATTGCCCTATAAACTGGAAGTGTCATTCTATGTCTTGAATATACGAAAAACTCCAGGGTAGTTTATTCCCACTTAATGTGTTTGGTGAACTTGTATTTTTGTATTGCTATTTCCAGTGTTGTTTCTGATTCTATATCTGATGTTTTATTGTCTGACCCCACCACTAGTTCAGTCCAGGGGTGTACCTATGTCCAGTGTTGTTTCTGATTCTATATCTGATGTTTTATTGTCTGACCCCACCACTAGTTCAGTCCAGGGGTGCACCTATGTCCAGTGTTGTTTCTGATTCTATACCTGATGTTTTATTATCTGACCCCACCACTAGTTCAGTCCAGGGGTGTACCTATGTCCAGTGTTGTTTCTGATTCTATATCTGATGTTTTATTGTCTGACCCCACCACTAGTTCAGTCCAGGGGTGCACCTATGTCCAGTGTTGTTTCTGATTCTATACCTGATGTTTTATTGTCTGACCCTACCACCACCAGGGCAGTCCAGGGCTGCACCTATGTCCAGTGTTGTTTCTGATTCTATACCTGATGTTTTATTGTCTGACCCCACCACTAGTTCAGTCCAGGGCTGTACCTATGTCCAGTGTTGTTTCTGATTCTATATCTGATGTTTTATTGTCTGACCCCACCACTAGTTCAGTCCAGGGCTGTACCTATGTCCAGTGTTGTTTCTGATTCTATATCTGATGTTTTATTGTCTGACCCCACCACTAGTTCAGTCCAGGGCTGTACCTATGTCCAGTGTTGTTTCTGATTCTATACCTGATGTTTTATTGTCTGACCCATACAACTAGGGCAGTCCAGGGGTGCACCTATGTCCAGTGTTGTTTCTGATTCTATACCTGATGTTTTATTGTCTGACCCATACAACTAGGGCAGTCCAGGGGTGCACCTATGTCCAGTGTTGTTTCTGATTCTATATCTGATGTTTTATTGTCTGACCCATACAACTAGGGCAGTCCAGGGGTGCACCTATGTCCAGTGTTGTTTCTGATTCTATACCTGATGTTTTATTGTCTGACCCCACCACTAGTTCAGTCCAGGGGTGCACCTATGTCCAGTGTTGTTTCTGATTCTATATCTGATGTTTTATTGTCTGACCCCACCACTAGTTCAGTCCAGGGGTGCACCTATGTCCAGTGTTGTTTCTGATTCTATATCTGATGTTTTATTGTCTGACCCCACCACTAGTTCAGTCCAGGGGTGCACCTATGTCCAGTGTTGTTTCTGATTCTATACCTGATGTTTTATTATCTGACCCCACCACTAGTTCAGTCCAGGGGTGTACCTATGTCCAGTGTTGTTTCTGATTCTATATCTGATGTTTTATTGTCTGACCCCACCACTAGTTCAGTCCAGGGGTGCACCTATGTCCAGTGTTGTTTCTGATTCTATACCTGATGTTTTATTGTCTGACCCTACCACCACCAGGGCAGTCCAGGGCTGCACCTATGTCCAGTGTTGTTTCTGATTCTATACCTGATGTTTTATTGTCTGACCCCACCACTAGTTCAGTCCAGGGCTGTACCTATGTCCAGTGTTGTTTCTGATTCTATATCTGATGTTTTATTGTCTGACCCCACCACTAGTTCAGTCCAGGGCTGTACCTATGTCCAGTGTTGTTTCTGATTCTATATCTGATGTTTTATTGTCTGACCCCACCACTAGTTCAGTCCAGGGCTGTACCTATGTCCAGTGTTGTTTCTGATTCTATACCTGATGTTTTATTGTCTGACCCATACAACTAGGGCAGTCCAGGGGTGCACCTATGTCCAGTGTTGTTTCTGATTCTATACCTGATGTTTTATTGTCTGACCCATACAACTAGGGCAGTCCAGGGGTGCACCTATGTCCAGTGTTGTTTCTGATTCTATATCAGATGTTTTATTGTCTGACCCATACAACTAGGGCAGTCCAGGGGTGCACCTATGTCCAGTGTTGTTTCTGATTCTATACCTGATGTTTTATTGTCTGACCCCACCACTAGTTCAGTCCAGGGGTGCACCTATGTCCAGTGTTGTTTCTGATTCTATATCTGATGTTTTATTGTCTGACCCCACCACTAGTTCAGTCCAGGGGTGCACCTATGTCCAGTGTTGTTTCTGATTCTATATCTGATGTTTTATTGTCTGACCCCACCACTAGTTCAGTCCAGGGCTGTACCTATGTCCAGTGTTGTTTCTGATTCTATATCTGATGTTTTATTGTCTGACCCCACCACTAGTTCAGTCCAGGGCTGTACCTATGTCCAGTGTTGTTTCTGATTCTATATCTGATGTTTTATTGTCTGACCCCACCACTAGTTCAGTCCAGGGCTGTACCTATGTCCAGTGTTGTTTCTGATTCTATATCTGATGTTTTATTGTCTGACCCCACCACTAGTTCAGTACAGGGCTGTACCAATGTCCAGCGTTGTTTCTGATTCTATACCTGATGTTTTATTGTCTGACCCATACAACTAGGGCAGTCCAGGGGTGCACCTATGTCCAGTGTTGTTTCTGATTCTATATCTGATGTTTTATTGTCTGACCCATACAACTAGGGCAGTCCAGGGGTGCACCTATGTCCAGTGTTGTTTCTGATTCTATACCTGATGTTTTATTGTCTGACCCATACAACTAGGGCAGTCCAGGGGTGCACCTATGTCCAGTGTTGTTTCTGATTCTATATCTGATGTTTTATTGTCTGACCCATACAACTAGGGCAGTCCAGGGGTGCACCTATGTCCAGTGTTGTTTCTGATTCTATACCTGATGTTTTATTGTCTGACCCATACAACTAGGGCAGTCCAGGGGTGCACCTATGTCCAGTGTTGTTTCTGATTCTATATCTGATGTTTTATTGTCTGACCCATACAACTAGGGCAGTCCAGGGGTGCACCTATGTCCAGTGTTGTTTCTGATTCTATATCTGATGTTTTATTGTCTGACCCATACAACTAGGGCAGTCCAGGGGTGCACCTATGTCCAGTGTTGTTTCTGATTCTATATCTGATGTTTTATTGTCTGACCCATACAACTAGGGCAGTCCAGGGGTGCACCTATGTCCAGTGTTGTTTCTGATTCTATATCTGATGTTTTATTGTCTGACCCATACAACTAGGGCAGTCCAGGGGTGCACCTATGTCCAGTGTTGTTTCTGATTCTATACCTGATGTTTTATTGTCTGACCCATACAACTAGGGCAGTCCAGGGGTGCACCTATGTCCAGTGTTGTTTCTGATTCTATATCTGATGTTTTATTGTCTGACCCATACAACTAGGGCAGTCCAGGGGTGCACCTATGTCCAGTGTTGTTTCTGATTCTATATCTGATGTTTTATTGTCTGACCCACCACTAGGGCAGTCCAGGGGTGCACCTACTTCCAGTGTTGTTTCTGATTCTATACCTGATGTTTTATTGTCTGACCCATACAACTAGGGCAGTCCAGGGCTGCACCTATGTCCAGCACGTGGCCAGCCCCTTCCCATCAGCCCCACCCAAGAGGGACGATGACCTGATCAGACCAGCTGTAGACGGCACGTTGAACGTCCTGAGGGCGGCACTGGCGTCTGGTACCGTACAGAGAGTGGTGCTCACAAGTTCTGTTGTTGCCGTAGCTTGTAAGACATTCTTGTTATATATATACATATACGTATATGTATATATATATATATATATATATATATATATATATATATATATATATATATATATATATATATGCTGTTGGTAATAAGTTAATCTTAGTACTCACCTTTAAAGATCACTAAATTGTAGTGGGCGTATACATATGACTAGATTTACACGTTTTGTTGCTTTCATTCTTATACAGATGTTTCTAGCGGAGTCAACCAGAATTAACCAGTATAAGGAACAAACTGGGCTCCGTTGAAAGATGGATTGGATTTACAACTTCTGGGAGGGGTTGGGGGGGGGGGGGGGTCTGCGGGAAGTTTACAAAACGGTTGAAGTAAATGTACTGAAATGTTTCCACATTGTTCAGGTCAGTATAAAACATTCTCTCCACTCTACTCCACCAGCTGCAGGTGGGAATGTGACACCCTACACAGAGAGCGACTGGGCTGATGAGAAGTCTCCACATACAGGTGCTTACAACAAAAGCAAAATTCTGGCAGAAAGAGCTGCTTGGGATTTCGTGAAAACTGTACCAGGTAAGCTGAATATTTAAAACTGTACCAGGTAAGCTGAATATTTAAAACTGTACCAGGTAAGCTGAATATTTAAAACTGTGCCAGGTAAGCTGAATATTTAAAACTGTGCCAGGTAAGCTGAATATTTAAAACTGTACCAGGTAAGCGGAATATTTAAAACTGTACCATGTAAGCGGAATATTTAAAACTGTACCAGGTAAGCGGAATATTTAAAACTGTGCCAGGTATGCTTAGTATTTAGATTGGATCAGCTATTAGTAATATTTATCAGATGACAATACATACAATTGATTGGTTAAGGTCTGTGCATATTTAATATTAATCTACCACCTCCGATAATTCAAACAGAAAATGTATTATATGTCCTAGTGTATACAAGCATTGGTTCAATAGTTCTATTTTATTGAGCATTTTAATTTGGTTTGAGATTTGATCGTGAGGGTATTTATTTTGACATAATATTTAGATAACGTTTTTAATAGTGTATTTATTTTGCCATAATATTTAGATAACGTTTTTAATAGTGTACCGCAATGTAAGATCTTAAATTGTGTTAAGTAGCTTCAGTAAAAGATCTATACCTTGTTTAACTCTAAGAGACATTTCTTACCTGTCCTTTCAGCAGAGAGAAAGTTTGAGCTGGCTGTTGTGAATCCTGTTCTGGTAGTTGGTCCAGCACTTCACGGAAACCCTGGTACAAGTATTGAAGTTTGTATTCTCATGTCCCTCTAGCTTGTCTGTCTTGTGATGAAGTTTGTATTCTTGTGGCCCTCTAGCTTGTCTGTCTTGTGATGAAGTTTGTATTCTTGTGGCCCTCTAGCGTGTCTGTCTTGTGATGAAGTTTGTATTCTTGTGGCCCTCTAGCTTGTCTGTCTTGTGATGAAGTTTGTATTCTCATGTCCCTCTAGCTTGTCTGTCTTGTGATGAAGTTTGTATTCTCATGTCCCTCTAGCTTGTCTGTCTTGTGATGAAGTTTGTATTCTCATGTCCCTCTAGCTTGTCTGTCTTGTGATGAAGTTTGTATTCTCATGTCCCTCTAGCTTGTCTGTCTTGTGATGAAGTTTGTATTCTCATGTCCCTCTAGCTTGTCTGTCTTGTGATGAAGTTTGTATTCTCATGTCCCTCTAGCTTGTCTGTCTTGTGATGAAGTTTGTATTCTTGTGGCACTCTAGCTTGTCTGTCTTGTGATGAAGTTTGTATTCCCATGTCCCTCTAGCTTGTCTGTCTTGTGATGAAGTTTGTATTCTTGTGGCACTCTAGCTTGTCTGTCTTGTGATGAAGTTTGTATTCTTGTGGCCCTCTAGCTTGTCTGTCTTGTGATGAAGTTTGTATTCCCATGTCCCTCTAGCCTGTCTGTCTTGTGATGAAGTTTGTATTCTTGTGGCCCTCTAGCTTGTCTGTCTTGTGATGAAGTTTGTATTCTCATGTCCCTCTAGCTTGTCTGTCTTGTGATGAAGTTTGTATTCTTGTGGCCCTCTAGCTTGTCTGTCTTGTGATGAAGTTTGTATTCTTGTGGCCCTCTAGCTTGTCTGTCTTGTGATGAAGTTTGTATTCTTGTGGCCCTCTAGCTTGTCTGTCTTGTGATGAAGTTTGTATTCTTGTGGCCCTCTAGCTTGTCTGTCTTGTGATGAAGTTTGTATTCTCATGTCCCTCTAGCTTGTCTGTCTTGTGATGAAGTTTGTATTCTTGTGGCCCTCTAGCTTGTCTGTCTTGTGATGAAGTTTGTATTCTCATGTCCCTCTAGCTTGTCTGTCTTGTGATGAAGTTTGTATTCTCATGTCCCTCTAGCTTGTCTGTCTTGTGATGAAGTTTGTATTCTCATGTCCCTCTAGCTTGTCTGTCTTGTGATGAAGTTTGTATTCTCATGTCCCTCTAGCTTGTCTGTCTTGTGATGAAGTTTGTATTCTCATGTCCCTCTAGCTTGTCTGTCTTGTGATGAAGTTTGTATTCTTGTGGTCCTCTAGCTTGTCTGTCTTGTGATGAAGTTTGTATTCTCATGTCCCTCTAGCCTGTCTGTCTTGTGATGAAGTTTGTATTCTTGTGGCCTTCTAGCTTGTCTGTCTTGTGATGAAGTTTGTATTCTTGTGGCCTGTAGCTTAAGTATGTGAAATTAGTTTCTCGTCAGTTTATGTCTCCCTGTGTCTAAAAACTTTCACGTGAAACAGCTGGCTATCTCACACTACAGATATGTCTAAAGTCTCTGCTTGTTACCCCTGCCATCAGAGCTACATCTAAACTTGGGAAGTTCGTCTCAGTCTTCATCAATTAGTGTGACGGTCCCATCAGGGCTAATTAAATGTAAACAAATCTGAGCCCTTGCCAGATTAAATGATAAAAATAATAGTGCAAAAAAGTGACATCTTTATGGTGTCAATTGTGAAATGAAAGTAGGCCTACAATTCGTTTCTTGAAATTGTAGCACATTTTAAATTGTCAGATTAATACCCAAACTATTACTTTCTATAATGGTGTGTGGTTAAATAATGACAAGGCACTTAAAAATATATTCTGAGTACAATTATAAATAGTTGAACATAAAAATATATTGTGAGTGCAATTATAAATAGTTGAACATAAAAATATATTGTGAGTGCAATTATAAATAGTTGAACATAAAAATGTATTGTGAGTGCAATTATCAATAGTTGAACATGAAAACAGTTTCAAAATAAATAAGGTGTAATTCTTTATTTTAAAAATATTCATCAATGAAACGTACTTTGCTCTAGCATGATATCCTAATGTTGACACAATATGTGCACTCACCTGTATGTAGATAATTAAACGGCTAATGGAGCATAAGATACCCAGGTGTCCAAAGTTTACCTTTGCTGTTGTTGATGTCAGGGATGTTGCTAAAGCTCATGTTGTGTGCATGACGTCACAGGAAGCTGCAGGTATGTTGTTCAACTAGTTGTTGGTGTTGGTTGTTTTGTTAGATGTTTTATACGCTGTATTGGCTATATTGTTGGGTGTTTTGCACGCTGTTTGTATTGACTGCTTACCTTCTGTTTCTCAAATGACAAAGTTTGACATTATTTCCCCTCAGGAAAACGTCACATTTTGAGTACAGCCAATTTGTGGCTGTCCGACATTGCTAAAATTTTAGACAGTGAATTTTGTCAACATGGTAATTGGCCTACATTTTCATTTTTAAACTAAATTATTGTAAATATTTTATCTAATAGATATTGTAAAAAAAACTTGAAGAAACGCAACAATAAGCTTCAATTACTATTGGTACATTACTGAAATAGACACAGTTCTTTGAGCTTACACTAGTACTTTATTCTTAAATATACAGACGACACGTCCTGTCTCTGACTCTACCTTTCGTTAACTGCCTAACATGTACACATTAACTACACACCACGGAAGACACAGTGAATATTGACGGGACGTAACCATGATATACATAATACAAGGGACATAACAGTCGTTAACAAGACTTAATGTAAAAATTATAAACGTAATCACAATTCACTGATAGAAACGAACGATTTAAAATATGATTGCTTTTTTTTTTAAATATAATAAACACAATAAATACAACAGGTACTTGTTGGCTGATGTAATTTAATCGTCATTTGTTACTGCAATATAAACTATTTTTATAAAGTTTGTACCCATAAAAATTATTGTTTTAGGCTACAATATTCCTACGGGCGAGCTGCCAAACTTTGTCACAAATTTGGCTAGCTTTTTTGATAAGGGGTTGCACTCTGCCAAAGTTTTTGCCAGTAAAGTTATTTTGTTAGACAACAGCAGGGTAAGCGTGATCAATTTTTCCTGAACTCTTGGCTGGGTTTTTTTTTTCATTAGTCTTGTTGGTTGTATTTTTGGCTGGGTTTTGTTTCATTAGTCTTGTTTGTTGTACTCTTGGCTGAGTTTTGTTTCATTAGTCTTGTTTGTTTTACTTTTGGCTGGGTTTTGTTTCATTAGTCTTGTTTGTTGTACTTTTGGCTGAGTTTTGTTTCATTAGTCTTGTTTGTTGTAATTTTGCCTGGGTTTTGTTTCATTAGTCTTGTTTGTTGTACGGGTTAGATGTTATACATCAAAGATGGTATATTGAGGAGTGGTATACGTGAGAGATTATATACATGGGAGATGGTGTACATGGGAGATGGTGTACATTATATGGAGGATGGATTACAAGAAAGATGATAACTTGTACGATGTTATAGATGAGTGTTTCTCATATTTGACCATGGAGGAAACGAGCTAGGGTAGTGTTATATGGTACAAATCAAACAAAAAATATGTTCCCTAATGAGATGATGTCAACACATGAAGGCTGGTCACAACTGTACCAGAACTACTTTACCTCGTAGATGCAAATGTTAACATCGTTGTTATGAAAATATATTTGTTATATGTGTTGTTAAATAATTAGTACACAGTCGCGCTTCAATATTTAATATTTTTTTAGTGTAACGTATCAGAATCATATAGTTAGCACTCACTGATTTCTTCGTTTAATTGTATAAGAATATTTGTACCTAAACTATGTCGTACAATTGATACGTGTTTTAACCCAGAGTTGTATTGTGTACAGTAATGTTTGTGTATTGTGTACAGTAATGTTTGTGTATTGTGTACGGTAATGTTTGTCTCTCACACAGATGACCAAGGTACTCAACATCAGTCCACGTGATGTGAGGACCACGTTCATAGACATGGGCAACTCTATGATTGACCACGGTTTGGTCAAGAGATCAGACAAATACAAGGGAAGGCCTAGTGCAGGTAATAGGCTTTCACCGAGTGCAAGTACTAGATGTAAGCCTAACACGCATCATTGATCCTAGTCAAGTAAAATCTTAAACTCTAACACACTAGGTTTAACACTAGGACATTAATTAAACAGCGCATATAATTTACTCTAGTGCAGGAAATGATTTAAAAATATCGAAAACATTTTTTTCACTTATTCATCGCTTAATAAGATAAGACAATTAGACACAAATATTTTCTGTTGCTAATTATGAGAATGATCTCCCTTGTTTGACTTCAGGCCAACAACAAGCCAGCGAGTGAGAGAACCATGTACGAGTTGTCGGTCATGATTTGCTTATTGTCTGTAGTCAGTCAAGTTTTACTTATTATCTGGAGTCAGGAGTCAGTCATAATTTAAATATTGTCAGGAATCAGTCATGATTGTATTAAATCACAAGTCAGCCATAATTAATATTGCTGTATATACTAAACTAGTCATCCGTTGTGTAAGCTGCTTCATATTGATTCAATTTTTACTGGAAAAAAAGCACCAATGTATCTTATTTAGGATTAAAAGGGGCATAACTCCTTATTCATAGACTGTGTTACAATAATGGAGTTATGTCCCTCAACTCTTTATTCTTTGAAAAAGAAAATATCTAAGATTTCCTTTCAATGTATTTGTAATTGAAAAAGTATAAAATTTTGTGTAAAGAAAGTTGAACCTCTTTATTTTTATAAAACTTGAACAAAACAAACAGAGTATACTGCTTGATATTCAATTTTATGACCATATTGAACAAGTGCTAAAGAAATACCTAAAAAAAATAAACAAAGATATTTTTAAACTTCATTTATTACATTTTTTTTTCTTTTTTTTTTCTTTTTTTTTTCTTTTTTTTTCTTTTTTTTTTCTTTTTCTAATTCTAATAACATAACTTTTCCGGTTGCTTAAAATGTGTATCATTTTAATTCTCAGTAATCCCAAATTTATTTAAGTTCTACTTAAAAAACCAAATCCCCCCCCCCCCCCCCTCAGCCCACCACGCCGATGGGAAAAAAAATTTAAGGTTTTTTTTTTTAATATAATTAGACGTTTTGTATTAGGTCTATGTATAAGTAAACCATCTTAAATGAATGAAAGTAGGCTACAAGTAAGAAAGAAATATTACTATTGTAAGTCTGTATCAGTCCTCACAAGCCGATTATAAAAGCTGTAATACTAAAGCGAACATGCAAGGCAAACTGACGCTGTAAATCACATGTCTGAGGCGGAAAAAAAATATTACATTCCGTAAATGAATTGCTCTTGGTAATTCAATTGTCATATACATATGTTTTATACAGATGGTATATATATATATATATATATATATATATATATATATATATATATATATATATATATATATATATATATATATATATATATATATATATATATATGATTTTTAAATCTTGGGCATTTTTATAGACAATATGCAATAAATATTTAATTCATTACCTTGTATGTGGTTGATGATTCAATTTCCAAGTTGGTTTTACTTTACCCAGTGAGTGTTTGTTGAAAATTCGAAATTTTAAAAACTCCTTTCTATAGCTAACTCCTGTCTCATCAGTGTAACATTGTGGGGCTGGCTTAGCTTGGTGAAGCTGTTATTTTTTAATGAATGTGTTGTATCTATGTTGAGCATTTGTATCTTAAGTTTCATTCACACATTTTTTTTCCAAAGGAAGGACTGGAAGGGGATGGGAAGCTCTTTGAGACTCGCGGGGGAGTGGGTTTACATTTCCTGTTCGTTCCTAGGGGGGAGGGGTGGTGGCTATGAACGTGTATCGTGGGGGGGGGGAGGGAGGGTGGCAACTAAGAGATGCCTTCAAGAGAGTAATTGTCTCGTAGTTTTCTTGTTATCTCAGTGTTGAATTATTGTAGCCTCGATTGTTGTTATCGTTATAAAATCCTTAAATCCCATTTGATCCGTCTATCCTAGTAGAGTTGGTATAGCTCATAGTAGCCAGTGGCGCTCTTATATTCTTGTGTCATATCTCAGCGATGCTTGTCCATCCCATTATCCTAAATGATAATTTATATATCTTAGTGGTGTTCGTATATCCTAAATGATAATTTATATATCTTAGTGGTGTTCGTATATCGTAAGTGATAATTTATATATCCTAGTGGTGTTCGTATATCCTAAGTGATAGTTTATATATCCTAGTGGTGTTCGTATATCCTAAGTGATAATTTATATATCCTAGTGGTGTTCGTATATCCTAAGTGATAATTTATATATCCTAGTGGTGTTTGTATATCCTAAGTGATAATTTATATATCCTAGTTCACTTCTTATATCCCATCCGAGGTTGTTATATTCAACAGCGGATCCTAAGCTGACTTAAAGTAAACTTTAAAGTACATAAAAACGAACTAAGACTTGTGATAAAACGAGGTTTATCAAATTAAATAAAGGCCACAAGAACTAAGTTTCATTTATATTCAATTAAACCGCCTACGTAGACCACGTGATAAAAGTTTGTGTGTGGGTGGAGGAAGAGAAAGCCAGGGACGGAGTTATTAAATTAGAACCGACTGCTCTGTGTAAATAATTTGTAAAAAAAAAACGACAGGTTTCTCTGTGTATATTTTATCTCAGCAACATTAGCCGCTATCTGAATAAAACAGGCGGCGGGAAATGAAATGTACCTGTAGTTCACATTTCTGGTGCCAAGTTCGTGCTCGTAGAAGGCTGTCTAGTTCTAGTCTAGTTTATATCACATCTATTGTCGGTCATTGAGTCGACATTTTTATCCCCTTTTTTGCGTGTCATAAGATCGACATTTTTGTCCCATCTGTGTGCCTGTAATAAAGTCGACATTTTCATCCCATCTTTTTGTCTGTAATAAAGTCGACATTTTTATCCCATCTGTGTGCCTGTAATAAAGTCGGCATTTTCATCCCATCTTTTTGTCTGTAATAAAGTCGACATTTTTATCCCATCTGTGTGCCTGTAATAAAGTCGACATTTTCATCCCATCTTTTTGTCTGTAATAAAGTCGACATTTTTATCCCATCTGTGTGCCTGTAATAAAGTCGGCATTTTCATCCCATCTTTTTGTCTGTAATAAAGTCGACATTTTTATCCCATATGTGTGCCTGTAATAAAGTCGACATTTTCATCCCATCTTTTTGTCTGTAATAAAGTCGACATTTTCATCCCATCTTTTTGTCTGTAATAAAGTCGACATTTTCATCCCATCTTTGTGCCTGTCATAAAGTCGACATGTTTATCCCATCTTTGTGCCTGTAATAAAGGCGACAAGATTTTATCCCATCTATGTATCTCTCATGAAGTCGACATTTTAACTATTTGCCCTCCATCGAGTCGATATTTATCCCATCGATTTGTTTATTTGCCCTTACTTCGCTAGTTCGTCAAATCGATCAAGTGGCTTGTTGTTTCTTCAAATTTTGGTTTGTCAACACGCAAACATAAACCTGATTGGGTGTAATACAGACACGCCCACACATACACGTCCACACAGACACGCTCACACACACAGGCCTACACACAAACAAGCTTACACACACATACACGTTTACACAGATATGTCCACACAGACACACCCACACAGACACACCCACACAGACAAACCCACACAAACACGTCCACACAGACACACCCACATAGACACACCCACACAGACACGTCCACACAGACACACCCACACAGACACGCCCACACAGACACACCCACACAGACACACCCACACAGACACGCCCACACAGACACGCCCACACAGACACGCCCACACAGACACGCCCACACAGACACGCCCACACAGACATGCCCACACAGACACGCCCACACAGACACACCCACACAGACACACCCACACAGACACGCCCACACAGACACACCCACACAGACACATCCACACAGACACACCCACACAGAAACGCCCACACAGACAAGCTTACAAACACATACCTACACACACAAGCCAACACACAAGCCTACTCACACAGATCTACACACACCCAGGCCTACATGCCTGCATACAAAATATAAATTTTACAAACTGCATCTGCTTTAAATGGCCGCCTGCAATATTTAAATGTATGTAAATAAAAGATTACTGGGTTTTTTTTAAATGAGACTACATTCTCAATTTTTTTAGAACAATTTTGATCCTCTACTTTAAATTTTTATGCGCGCCCAAAAATAATCAATCGATTCAGGCGCATTATTAAAGTTGTTGATAGAAGAAAAAATAAACATTATCTTTAGATCGGCTTCTATGCATTTTCAGGAAAATTTGTATCTAAATTAAGAAATTCGTAACTAGGTCTCGTATTTTTGAAAAAAAAATTTTTGGCTTTGTGTTGGTCTTTTAGTATCTTAGGTTCAACTATAGGGGTGGGATTTTCATCTTTGTGTTGGGTTCACAAGGTTATACGTGCCGATGGTCATTCGTTTTTTTCTGTTGGTCAGCTGTTCTTTTCAGCTGGTGAAAATATATGTAAGACGTGAGAGGGGTCTTAAGTGGCAGAGTGGTCGAGTGATAGATCACTCAAAACTCACTACCGTTGATGTTAGGCCCTAGTCGGGAATACATTCCCGAGTCCTCTCAGCTGTAATGAATACCTGACTCGAGCAGGAGCAGTTGAACTCTACTTTACCTACTACAGTTCCGTCTAGTTTTACTTGTGTCTCCTTCAAGCAATAATTAGGTTTTATTCCTCTTTAAAAAGTACCAAACATAAGTTATAACCTTAAAACACCTTCAAGTTTTTCTCGACCATGTCTGTTTGAAACCCTCTAGTCAATATTTACTTTCTCGTATATACGAAGTATAGAGAAAGTATTGTAATCGTGCAAAAAAAATCGACACCTCACTGATACGGAAAAACATAATTTTGCAATCTTGTCCGTATGTCTGTGTGTCTGTCTGTCTGTGTGTCTGTCTGTCTGTGTGTGTGTGTCTGTCGTGTGTAAACACGATTACTTGAGTACCGTTACAGCTAGGTTGATGAAATTTCATATATAAATATTTTATCAAAATCGTAGATCCGTATCAACTTTTGAGCGAATTCCGATAACCGGAAGTGGTACTTTTCCTACTTTGAATTTTTCAAAAGTCTATAACTTGAGTACTATTTCAGATAGATAAATGAAATTTCACATGTAAGTAAAAGATCTAATTCGCTACTTTCTGTTAAATTTTGAGTAATTTCCGTTGACCGGAAGTAGTAATTTACGCTACTTCCGATTTCTCAAAAAACTAATGTAAATTTTTAAAGTACTAATAATATTGCGCACTATTATGCACTTTTTTATTTGGCGTTCACTTGGTGTGCAATTCTTTTGTCTACGAGATTTTATTCTATTTTTAAAACTTTAAGTATTTAAAATGGATTAAAAATCATGTCTATAGCCCGAGTTCCCATCCCCTGTTATTTTATATAAGAATATTCGAGAAAGTTTTGAGGAGATCACTTCCGGTTTATTTAATTTCGCGTTATTGGCAATAAACACAATACAATCATGTTTCATCTGTTGCTTAGATCATAATAAATTACATTACTTTAGCAGCTTGAGAAATGAATGAAGTGCCGTAAAAGTACACCAACGAGCCATTATACAACTGAACGAGTGTGTAAAAGGTGGGATAAAAATCGTTGACTTAGCGTTCATTTCCGTCAGTGGCGCGTGTTTTTATGTGTGAGTGTAGCGGTGAACCCCGCGAGTACAGCATGCACGTGGGTTTAACTTGAGCGCGTGCCAGTTGCTCACGACTGGTGCTACGTGAATCACAGCTGACCACAGTCAGGCGCTCGCTTTCTGCCCTAGTTCCTCACATCCCTGGCCACAGGAGGCATTGATACTGTAACCATGACGGGGCGAGTTCGTGTCACCATTTGATGTCACCATTTGATGTCACCAGTTCGTGTCACCATTTGATGTCACCAGTTCAAGTGATCATCTCCATGTTACCATTTGGATAGTGGCTTATCTTTTCTAACTGCAACTTGAGAATTCGTATTATTATTAACAATGGTTTTATTACAAATTCAGTGCAACGTGTATAAACCTTTCAATGTTGGCTATTAATGCATTGTATCAGCTGTTTACTTCCATACCTACGCGGAAGCCAGACTTTAAGTCAAGCAAACAAATCTGCCTCTCTAATTGACCAGGCAACAAACTGACCAGGCAACAAATTGACCAATCAACAAACTGACCAGCCAACAAACTGACCAGTCAACAAACTGACCAGTCAACAAACTGACCAGTCAACTAACTGACCTGTCAACTAACTGACCAGTCAACAATCTGACTAGTTAACAAGAGACTACTTTACAAAATGACCAACTCACACGCTGGTCACGCAGATGACACTTAAATCAACCCAGCATTTAAATCAACCATTTCTTTCCTCTCTCGGACCCTGAAATATAACCATGTAGACTACAGACGCAATGAAAAGATCGGGAAGTAACAAGATTCTTATCCCAGCCAACCTGGTGAGTACAGCCAGAGTTACAAATGTTGTATGTTGGCCAATGTTACAAATGTTGTATGTTGGTAGACAAATCTCTCGTACATTAGAACGGTGTGAGTACAACCAATGTTACAAATGTTGTATGTTGGCCAATGTTACAAATGTTGTATGTTGGTAGACAAATCTCTCGTACATTAGAACGGTGTGAGTACAACCAATGTTACAAATGTTGTATGTTGGCCAATGTTACAAATGTTGTATGTTGGTAGACAAATCTCTCGTACATTAGAACGGTGTGAGTACAACCAATGTTACAAATGTTGTATGTTGGCCAATGTTACAAATGTTGTATGTTGGTAGACAAATCTCTCGTACATTAGAACGGTGTGAGTACAACCAATGTTACAAATGTTGTATGTTGGTAGACAAATCTCTCGTACATTAGAACCGTGTGAGTACAGCCAATGTTACAAATGTTGTATGTTGGTAGACAAATCTCTCGTACATTAGAACGGTGTGAGTACAGCCAATGTTACAAATGTTGTATGTTGGTAGACAAATCTCTCGTACATTAGAACGGTGTGAGTACAACCAATGTTACAAATGTTGTATGTTGGCCAGTGTTACAAATGTTGTATGTTGGTAGACAAATCTCTCGTACATTAGAACGGTGTGAGTACAACCAATGTTACAAATGTTGTATGTTGGCCAATGTTACAAATGTTGTATGTTGGTAGACAAATCTCTCGTACATTAGAACGGTGTGAGTACAACCAATGTTACAAATGTTGTATGTTGGCCAATGTTACAAATGTTGTATGTTGGTAGACAAATCTCTCGTACATTAGAACGGTGTGAGTACAACCAATGTTACAAATGTTGTATGTTGGTAGACAAATCTCTCGTACATTAGAACGGTGTGAGTACAACCAATGTTACAAATGTTGTATGTTGGTAGACAAATCTCTCGTACATTAGAACGGTGTGAGTACAGCCAATGTTACAAATGTTGTATGTTGGTAGACAAATCTCTCGTACATTAGAACGGTGTGAGTACAACCAATGTTACAAATGTTGTATGTTGGCCAGTGTTACAAATGTTGTATGTTGGTAGACAAATCTCTCGTACATTAGAACGGTGTGAGTACAACCAATGTTACAAATGTTGTATGTTGGCCAGTGTTACAAATGTTGTATGTTGGTAGACAAATCTCTCGTACATTAGAACGGTGTGAGTACAACCAATGTTACAAATGTTGTATGTTGGCCAATGTTACAAATGTTGTATGTTGGTAGACAAATCTCTCGTACATTAGAACGGTGTGAGTACAACCAATGTTACAAATGTTGTATGTTGGCCAGTGTTACAAATGTTGTATGTTGGTAGACAAATCTCTCGTACATTAGAACGGTGTGAGTACAACCAATGTTACAAATGTTGTATGTTGGTAGACAAATCTCTCGTACATTAGAACGTGTGAGTACAACCAATGTTACAAATGTTGTATGTTGGCCAGTGTTACAAATGTTGTATGTTGGTAGACAAATCTCTCGTACATTAGAACGGTGTGAGTACAACCAATGTTACAAATGTTGTATGTTGGCCAATGTTACAAATGTTGTATGTTGGTAGACAAATCTCTCGTACATTAGAACGGTGTGAGTACAACCAATGTTACAAATGTTGTATGTTGGCCAGTGTTACAAATGTTGTATGTTGGTAGACAAATCTCTCGTACATTAGAACGGTGTGAGTACAGCCAATGTTACAAATGTTGTATGTTGGTAGACAAATCTCTCGTACATTAGAACGGTGTGAGTACAACCAATGTTACAAATGTTGTATGTTGGCCAGTGTTACAAATGTTGTATGTTGGTAGACAAATCTCTCGTACATTAGAACGGTGTGAGTACAACCAATGTTACAAATGTTGTATGTTGGCCAATGTTACAAATGTTGTATGTTGGTAGACAAATCTCTCGTACATTAGAACGGTGTGAGTACAACCAATGTTACAAATGTTGTATGTTGGCCAGTGTTACAAATGTTGTATGTTGGTAGACAAATCTCTCGTACATTAGAACGGTGTGAGTACAGCCAATGTTACAAATGTTGTATGTTGGTAGACAAATCTCTCGTACATTAGAACGGTGTGAGTACAACCAATGTTACAAATGTTGTATGTTGGCCAATGTTACAAATGTTGTATGTTGGTAGACAAATCTCTCGTACATTAGAACGGTGTGAGTACAACCAATGTTACAAATGTTGTATGTTGGCCAGTGTTACAAATGTTGTATGTTGGTAGACAAATCTCTCGTACATTAGAACGGTGTGAGTACAACCAATGTTACAAATGTTGTATGTTGGCCAATGTTACAAATGTTGTATGTTGGTAGACAAATCTCTCGTACATTAGAACGGTGTGAGTACAACCAATGTTACAAATGTTGTATGTTGGCCAATGTTACAAATGTTGTATGTTGGTAGACAAATCTCTCGTACATTAGAACGGTGTGAGTACAACCAATGTTACAAATGTTGTATGTTGGCCAATGTTACAAATGTTGTATGTTGGTAGACAAATCTCTCGTACATTAGAACGGTGTGAGTACAACCAATGTTACAAATGTTGTATGTTGGCCAACGTTACAAATGTTGTATGTTGGTAGACAAATCTCTCGTACATTAGAACGGTGTGAGTACAGCCAATGGTACAAATGTTGTATGTTGGCCAATGTTACAAATGTTGTATGTTGGTAGACAAATCTCTCGTACATTAGAACAGTGTGAGTACAGCCAATGTTACAAATGTTGTATGTTGGCCAATGTTACAAATGTTGTATGTTGGTAGACAAATCTCTCGTACATTAGAACAGTGTGAGTACAGCCAATGTTACAAATGTTGTATGTTGGCCAATGTTACAAATGTTGTATGTTGGTAGACAAATCTCTCGTACATTAGAACGGTGTGAGTACAGCCAATGGTACAAATGTTGTATGTTGGTAGACAAATCTCTCATACATGAGAACGGTGTTAGTCGGACTAAAAGTCTAAAAGAGCCGATACATTACTGCTAGGGATGTAATTCTAGAGACAATGCTACACTAATTCATCATCATTTTCCCCTTTCGTGCACAGGACACATGGGGCAGGTAAAGTTTCAATGACCTCGGCATACTAGAGGGTAGTGTGGTCAGCACTATACCCAGCCGCCTTTACTTTCCCTAACGTGAGCTCATTCTCGTTAAAGCTGGATGGACTAATGATTGTGACCCAACTACAACCCCCCCCCCCCCCAAGACTCCACAATGATTGTCCATATAACCCCGACTGTTATGACCGTCCATATAACTAAGACTGCTATGACCGTCCATATAACCAAGTCTGTTGTAACCGTCCATATAATCACGACTGCTATGACCGTCCATATAACCAAGACTGTTATGACCGTCCATATAGCCAAGACTACTATTGTCGTCCATATAACCAAGACTGTTATGACCGTCCATATAACCAAGACTGTTATGACCGTCCATATAGCCAAGACTGTTATGACCGTCCATATAACCAAGACTGTTATGACCGTCCATATAACCAAGACTGTTATGACCGTCCATATAACCAAGACTGTTATGACCGTCCATATAACCAAGACTGTTATGACCGTCCATATAGCCAAGACTGCTATGACCGTCCATATAACCAAGACTGTTATGACCGTCCATATAACCAAGACTGCTATGACCGTCCATATAACCAAGACTGTTATGACCGTCCATATAGCCAAGACTACTATTGTCGTCCATATAACCAAGACTGTTATGACCGTCCATATAACCAAGACTGTTATGACCGTCCATATAGCCAAGACTGTTATGACCGTCCATATAACCAAGACTGTTATGACCGTCCATATAACCAAGACTGTTATGACCGTCCATATAACCAAGACTGTTATGACCGTCCATATAACCAAGACTGTTATGACCGTCCATATAGCCAAGACTGTTATGACCGTCCATATAGCCAAGACTGTTATGACCGTCCATTTACCACGACTACTATGGCCGTCCATATAACATAGTCTGCTATGACCGTCCATATAACCAAGACTGTTATGACCGTCCATATAACCAAGACTACTATGACCGTCCATATAACCAAGATTACCATGACGGTCCATATAACCAAAACTGCTACGACCGTCCATATAACCACGACTGCTATGACTAGCCTATGTTGGAATGCGAGCGCCACCGATCAACTGTCGTATGAGATGGATGGTCTCCCCACACTTACAACGCCCCCCCCCCCACATTCACACAACCCCACACTCCTACCCACACACGAGGTAACACTGAGTTAACGTCCCCATTTTCTCTCAACACAAAATGTATCACCCACAACATTGTATCTTGTGTTGGTTTGTAAGTAGGTATGTAAGTAGGTATGTGAGTAGGTATGTGAGTAGGTATGTGAGTAGGTATGTAAGTAGGTATGTAAGTAGGTATGTAAGTAGGTATGTGAGTAGGTATGTAAGTAGGTATGTGAGTAGGTATGTGAGTAGGTATGTAAGTAGGTTTGTGAGTAGGTATGTAAGTAGGTATGTAAGTAGGTATGTAAGTAGGTATGTGAGTAGGTATGTAAGTAGGTTTGTGAGTAGGTATGTGAGTAGGTATGTGAGTAGGTATGTGAGTAGGTATGTAAGTAGGTTTGTGAGTAGGTATGTAAGTAGGTATGTAAGTAGGTATGTAAGTAGGTATGTGAGTAGGTATGTAAGTAGGTTTGTGAGTAGGTATGTAAGTAGGTATGTAAGTAGGTATGTGAGTAGGTATGTGAGTAGGTATGTGAGTAGGTATGTAAGTAGGTATGTGAGTAGGTATGTAAGTAGGTATGTAAGTAGGTATGTGAGTAGGTATGTGAGTAGGTATGTAAGTAGGTTTGTGAGTAGGTATGTAAGTAGGTATGTAAGTAGGTATGTGAGTAGGTATGTGAGTAGGTATGTAAGTAGGTTTGT